TAATTAACTTTATATTAAAAATATAATTCTTGTACTAAATGGTTTTTATAGAATAATTTTTTCCACAATTTTTATTACAAATGTTTAGAACACTAAAATAACAAACAGATATAAATAATTGTATTTATTCATTTTTTTTTTTAATCAAAAGATGACTTTTTTGCATCGGGAAAGTCACTTCTGTGTTTTTCAACAACTTGAAGGATGTTTTGTCTTTGTTCCTAGTCTGTTGTTAAGGAGTTATTAAAATTTGTCATCATAGCTACTCCTCTCTCTGCTGAATCATTCACAACGTATAAGGATTTGACTTTATTATAGCCATGAATGAAACTTTCATTTTTTAGTCAAGTTTCTGGGTCATAATTTTTTTCGTGTGCGACGTTCAAGTTCTTTAAACTCAATAACTTTTTTATTATTTGAACGAGTATTTTTGGGTATAACTTTTTTGAAATTTGGAATTACGGCCCTAGAGCAATCCATTTCACGCTGAGTAACAAGGAAGTCTTTCTCTTCTTTTGACAAATCGGAATTTAATGCATTAGCATGGCTAATATCGAATAAGTAGTTTAATGACTCTACAAATGCGGCTTCGTTATTATTTTGAGTAGTACTAATTCTATTTTTATTTTTATTTACATTTATCCATTTAGTATGGAGTTTTTTTATTTATGTAACTATGTGACAAGTATGCTTTATTAAAATATTTGTTTTTGACCATATTTCAATCAAATGTGTCGTACACATTGAAGCACTAACTGATATTGTCTTTTTGTTAACATTATGAAAATATAGAAAATGGCCAAGAACTTCACGTTTTGATGGAAGTCGATTACCAACGATCTTCTTAATTGGGGTTATAATAAACTGATAATTTTTTGATTTAGCACCGTCCATAATTACTAAAATGAAGTTATTTAAACTTTAGCCGTTATTAATTAATTAAGTAGGTTAAATTTACTATTAAATACTTTCAGCTTATAAATTATTGCACTATATATTTTTATGAAATAATAAAATTAAACTTTAAATTACTTACTGCTACTTTCTCGTAGGCTAAACAATTTTTATATTTGTGAATTCTAGATGAAATATAAGAGATAAATTTGATTAAATGTATGAAAATGCTGATCTACAGGTACACAAAAACTTTTAAAAACATATATAACTACTTGTGAACAATACATCAGACACTGTAACAATTTTATCATCAAAAAAAGGTGACTTAATGTTTGATATCTATCTTGTAGATCATAAATTTATGATTATGTAATTGATAAATAGGATGTATGGTTATTATTCTGCCTTAATACCGCGTAACAATGATATCTTTATTGATTTCTATCAATAAAGATAAAATCAAAACTTAGTTTTAAAAAAACGTGAAAATAAGGTATTAATTTTTATTATTAGTAAAGAAAATTTTTACACCATATAATAAACACGACAATTAATTTAACTATTAATTTTTTAAAACTTAAAAAAAATTGTTGGCCCCTTTCAGATCGATCCGAAAAGTACCATATACTTAGACGTTTAGGTAAATTACGTAATCAATATAGGTCTTAGAAATTAAAAAATTATAAAATCGTTTTCTACGTTAAAAATACAACATTTTACATATATAGATGATTATAATTGACCAAAATTTAGAATTTTAATCATATTTTAATAAATAAGGGGTATTTTTGGTAAAAATACGAAAAACGCTTTGAGCGACCTGTAAAAATTTTTTTATCGATCTCAAATTTTCAAAACATATTTTTTTTTATATACTTAATAAATCTAGGGGGTGTCTGATAAAAATTTTTAAAGTCGATTTTTTTT